CCAAACATCTCCCAGTGTCACAGTGGATCAGGTCAGGAGGCAACTGAGGAAGCTTCGCCCCAGAAAGGCAGCAGGCCCAGACAAGGTGTGTCCTAGGATGCTTAAGGCGTGTGCTGCTGAACTTGGGGAGCCGCTACAACGAGTCTTCAACCTCAGTCTGCGACTGGGGAGAGTGCCCGCCCTATGGAAGACATCCTGCATCGTCCCGGTCCCCAAAAAGAACCGGCCCAATGAGCTGAATGACTTCCGACCGGTGGCACTGACGTCACATCTTATGAAGACTCTAGAGCGGCTCTTCCTCAACCTCCTCCGACCACAGGTACAACATGCCCAGGACCCACTACAGTTTGCATACAAGGTGGGTATCGGAGTGGAGGATGCCATCCTGTACCTCCTACACAGAGCCCACTCACACCTGGATGAGGGAAAAGGCACGGTCAGGATCCTGTTTCTTGACTTTTCCAGTGCCTTTAATACCATCCGGCCCTGTATGCTTCAGGAAAAACTGAACAGGATGGAGGTGGACCCCTGCCTGGTGGCTTGGATCTCCGACTACCTCACCGACAGACCACAGTACGTCAGGCTGAAGGACATCACGTCTGACACAGTGGTCAGCAGCACAGGAGCACCACAGGGAACTGTGCTGTCCCCTCTTCTCTTCACCCTGTACACCTCTGACTTCTGCTACAACTCTGAATTATGCCATATTCAGAAGTTTGCAGATGACACGGCCATCATGGGGTGTATCTGAGATGATCAGGAAGAGGAGTACAGAAGTCTGGTGAGGAACTTTGTCGCATGGAGTCACACAAACCACCTGCAACTCAACACCTCAAAGACTAAGGAACTGGTTGTGGACTTCGGGAGGTCCAGAGAAGGTCCACTGCCAGTTCAGATAGAGGGGGAGGAGGTGGAGGTGGTCAACAAGTACAAGTACCTCGGGCTGTGGGTGGACAATAAACTGGACTGGTCATGCAACACAGAGCACCTGTATAAAAAAGCCCAAAGCCGACTGTACTTCCTCAGGAGGCTGAGGTCTTTTAACATCTGCAGGAAGCTCCTGAGGATGTTTTACCAGTCGGTGGTTGCTGGAGTACTTTTCTATGCTGTGGTGTGCTGGGGGAGCAGCACAGCAAAGAGGGACTCATCCAGGCTGGAGAAACTGATCAGGAGGGCTAGCTCTGTGGTCGGCATGAAGCTGGACACTCTGGTGACAGTGGCAGAGAAAAGGACATTAAAGAAACTGATGGACATTATGGACAATGCTGGGCATCCTCTGCACACGGCCATAAACAATCAGAAGAGTCTGTTCAGTGACAGGTTGCTTCTCCCCAAGACAAGAACTAACAGACTTAAAAACTCCTTTGTCCCACACGCCATCAGACTGTTTAACTCCTCTCTGGAGGGGAGAGGGAGGGGAAACAGGAGGACAAAGGAGGGGGGAACAACTAAGCTGTAGTGCCTCTTCACCTCACTGTACAATACCTTGTGCAATACTTTTTGTAAATAGTCAACAGTGCAATAGACTCAATACTTGAAATGTGCAATTCACTTGTATTTTTATTTTTTATTCCTATTTATTCTATTTATCCCCTTTGTATATTTTATTTATATTTGTCTCTGTATTTATATATGTGTGTGTGTGTGTGTGTGTGTGTGTGTGTGTGTGTGTATATATATATATATAACAGTTCTGTAACTGTAACTTTGGTCGTTGCTGTGCTTTTTTGGAAGTCGAATTTCCCAGAGGAACCCACCCGAGGGATTAATAAAGTTCTATCTTATCTTATCTTATCTTAGTTATAACATCTATTCCAAAATCCTAAAGATGAAAGCAACCACTCACCGCCATGGCCTCCTGGAGACGGTAAGCTTCATACTCCACGGGGGCATCAACAGTTCCAGCAAAAGAAGCTCCAGGTCTCCAGATAAAGCTTTCTTCAGAGCAGTTATTATATCCTAATTCACCACATGCATAAATAAAATAACACTGAATTAATTCTTATTTTGACTTGACTTGAGTTTCACTCCTGGTTTTCTTTTTGTAATTCTTGTTAAGTTATTTTAGTAAAGAAACAGTAAATATCTAGAAAAAACCTCTGACTAATGGAATAAACCCCCAGAGTACACTTGGGATTGGAAGTGGATTCACACAAAACCTGCCTGACTATCACACTATGGTGTACTCTTTCCCTGTAAGACACTACAGTTGGGCATGTGACAGTAGTTCTGAAGTTGCTAAACAAAGGTGTGTTCACACCTTTAATGTCACCGTTTTTTTATTATTTGATCAGCAAACACTTCAAAGTTACAGATGAGCAAGGCTAAACTTTTATAACTACTAAACCTCAAACTGAAACTTCAGTTTCATTGCTTAATATATTTTATTGTAGGAGACAACTTTACACTTCATGGTTTCCACAAAACCATTAAAGTTTTAATTTCGAAACTCTTTGAAAAGGTTGTTACTGTTTCTATTTTCTCACCTTATGTGTTAGCGCCTGAAAGACCTGAGCAATTACTTGCCTCTGGGCGTTGTTCCTATTGGTTAGTATTCTCAGTAGCGTCACTGTGTCTGAGCAAGATACACGATATTCAATAAATTACCAGGAAAAGGGTGGAAAGAAATCGTGGGAATTTATTTTCAACATATGCCAATGAATGCCTTTGTTTTCCAGTGCTGTCACGATCTCCGTCACATCTCTGTCAGGGTAGAAATTGGAGTAGGGTCGTACTGTTCCAAGGGTCCCCCAGTACATATCCTATTTAATAAAAAGGGACAATAATTGTGGCATCCACTCTCTATACAATATATAAAACAACTGAGTGGCAAGAATCAAGTGAAATGTGTAACAACTAACCTCATACTGAGCATACCGCGAAGGTATGGAGATGTAGAACAATACAGATCAGCCATGCTTGAATTTAAAGAATGCTAAGTATGTCAGACTTCTAGGAGGAGGTGCACGCATGTGTGTGTGTGTGTGTGTGTGGAGGGGGATGGTTCAACACAAACTATTAATACAAGTAATTTTCAATAATGAAACAAATTGGTTGAATTGTATTACTCGGCTTTCTTGATATTTAAAATCTAAACGTGACAATGCGCAGCAACCTTCAGAGCACTTGTTTATAGACAGCAATAAAAGGTATGTAGATAACCAGACTGAACATGACTGCAGATAAGGCTATTTGCAAATGTGGAGTCTTAGTGAGCAGAGTAATAAATCTTAGTGAAGAGTGAAGACGGGGCAGAGGTGTACTTCTTGGAATGTTTACTTACATAAGAGTCAGAGTACTCAGAATCCATGACTTGCTTGTATCTAATGTGAGCAAAAACGGAAATGGCAAAGACATTAACAGCCCACATCACGGAACAAACAGATAATGTGACTTCATTTTAATAGGTTTAATAGAGATTCTCCAATGAAACTTAAAGTCTACAGCATAGCTTTGAGAATCTAGGAATTCGTGACAGTAACATATGAAGGAGGAGGCCAAGTCCGAGCTGATTAGCGTTAGCCACTTATTTCTTAAACAAATTATTTAAAAGGAATTGTTATTTTTCTTACCTGTAACAGAATACTAGGCCAGCTGTGACAAGGAGTGGAGGTAGTGTATGTTTTTTTTTTTTTTTTTTGTACAACCTCTCCGCCAACAAGCCCTGTATTTCAGTCCCACCCACAGTACGCCACAGCTGCTTCCCGTACACCCACTTGCGTGTCAGTCAAAGATACTGACCAATCAGTGCCCAGCATGTTCACAGCTCTGTTCACAGTTTCCCTGCTCAAATACTATGGCAACCCAGTTATACTTGAGCGTCAAGCAGGAATCTTGATAGTCAGGTTTGGTTACAGGCAACATTTTCTGTGGAATTTGACCATCATTTGTACTTCACGGCTGACTTTCCCCAAAATAAATAATTGACACGCTGTTGCTTTGGGCCAAACACAGTTCATGACATTCAAAGAAGAAATTGTAAGTTATAGCTTTGGCATGTTAAAGCTTTATACCAAGATAAGCAAAAAGATTTAATAAGCAAACTAATGAGGCAACATGCTGGCCATTTCTGAAAGTAAATGGAGGGCACACTCTGGTTTCAGGGTGTGCCTATGTATGACCAGGTGGTCTTTTAGATTCAAAGCCTGTGCAGCTAGACGGAACAAAAAGGCTTTTCAACAGACACATCTGATGATACCAGCGATAGGAGGATATAGATGTGATAGAGAGCGGGGTGTTGTGCATTTTTTCAGAAAACTTATTACAGAAGAACAAATGTCACAAGGTTTTGATCTGTCCCATCCTCTGTGCTGGTTGGCTTCTACCAGTTTCTCGTCTACAGAAGGCAAATAAACAGATCTATGTGGTTATTACAAACAAAGCTGATCTAGAGCAGACTGTGTACCCTTTGATAAACTCTGCTAAACAAAGCACTATTTAAAGGGACAATTTGTATGCATCTCATTACTATGGAAATATTAGAAACAATTCAAATTTTATTTTTTATAGAAGCATTTAAATAATAGTGCAGGTGGCCTAGATACTTCCCGTGGCTTAAGTGAAACCACTGAACGCATGTGATATGTGAATTAGGTGAATTTGTGAGTGAAGTCTGAAATTTTAAATGTCTTTTAAAGATTGAAAACTGTTTATTCAAGCATGTGCACAACTATTGAAAGCAGCTGAAATGCTAGCTGAATTGGGGTGAAAATAGTAGAGGTCACCAAAGCTTATTTGACACTGCTAAACCTTGCAGAAAGCCTCCCCAAAAGAGTTGAAGCTGTTGTAGCTGAAACGGTCCACCAACATCATATTAACCCTTTGGATTAAGAACTGGACTTCACTCGAGTGTTCTCAAAGAGCTAAAGTATGAGCACTGATGATGTTGGTCTAAAATGCACAGCAGATAATGTCCTGAGTAGTTTAAAAAACTATGATGAAAAACAAGAAAGAAAAAGATGAATGGATTAAAAAAATAAATAAATAAAAATACATCCTTATTTTGTAATCTTTTCTACAATCATTTTATTCAATATTTAATATTTTAAAACCTTTCCCTCCTACATAACATGAAATTACATCTTTAGTATCAAATATTAACATACAGCTGAAGCAGGGAACACAGAAACATACACATTAAGATTTACATCAAAATATGTCAAGAAACGGTAACTCGACAGAAACTGCACAGTTCATTGCACTGGACCATGCATGTATACGTAAGTGCAACATTTCCCACAACACATACAGGATTTTTATATTACATATATAAAAACAAAAAATTAAAAGCGTAACACGCATTTCTTGAATACTAAACATCCTTTTGGCTTCACCCATCCAGCTTCACTATAAACCCCAGAAGGCCATTTTGTTTTCATTCCAGGAAATCAAATGCCCAAAAGCAATTTGAATTTCAAACTTAGATTTATAGTAAACAAATGTAGGACGAGATGATGTTCCTCTTCTACAGAAAAAAAAAAAAAAAAAAGCCCCCATAAACCCAGATTCCAATAAACATGGAAATCCCAGGCTGGATAATCAAATTGTTGACAAATGATCAGCTGGAAGGTCAAATGAAAGTCGCAGAACAGTGTGAACCATATACGGAATTTTCACTGTACATCCTCAAACAAATAACATGTATTTGCCATTGCTTTTCGACTCATGCTCCAAATAAAACTAAACAAATCAAGGCACTTATTTAAACTCTTCTTTGGTAAAATACATTTTGAAAATGATTAAAAACAAAAAACAAAACAAAAAAAACATTTCATGCTATGAATGCAAACTAACAAAAAACCTTGAAAACAACTTGGGCAGCTTTTGCAGGGCATCTATTGCTTCTACGCATTCTTGCTGTTGGATACTGATTTCAAACTAGCTCATAGGTTTTAGAAGGAATTGCATGTCCTGAGATGCAGTAAGTCATGAAACAGATACAAGAGTGGATACTGAAATATCAAGACAATATCACAAAGTGGCAAAGATAAGCTCGGTTCCTGTGCTGCTGATGGCTACAGCAACTCTATCTCCCACTGCTGGCTGGGCCTCTCATCATTCTCGGGCATAATGACCACGTGGTCCTTGTCGTAAGTTTTGCCACCTGATGAAAAAAGTAGTTTCACAATGTAAATCTGACTAATTATTCATGCTGTAGTGGAATGTAACTAAATAAACTCATTTTCATTGTGGAATTGTTATTATTACATTAATACATAAAAAAAATATCCCTGCCAGTGAACACTTAAAAAGGGAATATGCAGGAAAATAAACTTGGACACTTCTGAAGTTAATATCATTTGAGATTAGATAAGATTTTGTGATGACCAATTATAACTTAATATTTAATAATTTTAGAAAATGAAAGCCAGTAAAAACTACAATAGCCACTAACAACTTTACACGCAACAAATGTTTAAAGGTTAAATTACCACATTTTCTTCTCATACCTTTAACATCCAGGACCATGCCAGGGAAAGTATTGCTAGTGATGAGGCCTTTCATTGGGGCAGTCCAGGTTTGAACGGGCTGTCGGGTTTCTGTCCACAGAACCACCTTTGCTGCTGGCTCTATGTTGCCAACCACCTGAAGGCTCATGGTTGGGGACAACTACAGAATACACAAGTATTATGTTGGAAAGAATTGTCAAGATTTGAAATGTATGACTGTGTTGAGGTTTTCGGAGATGTCACCAGCATTGTTACCTTGTTTTTAATCAGTCCATCCTGGTAGAACCAGATGTCACTCAGTGGCTCCACCTCAGGCGTCACACCACTCGTCCTGATTTCAACTCCTCCACGCCACCCTGGACGGACAGGAAGTGACCTCGCTCTGTGTTCTTGATACGGAAAAAGTGGCGCTTCTGTAGAAGGAAAAAAATAGCACAATGTATTACTGTTATAGAATCTGTGGCAGGCCAGACAACTCAAAGTTATTGTAAATAAATACTAGCTGAAGTGAACAGAACTGGCTGCACTTGTAATGATGGACATTAGTTTCCATTTTTTTTCTTTTTAAATATAGGGACCAACAGAATCACCATTCTCTCCGTTTTGGAACTATTGGATACTTTTAACATCTGAGATTTATAAAAATGTCAGCCTGGTTTACTAATAACACTAATGAGTGACCTAGAACACCAAAATCAACACCTTTAGGATCAAATTATTCTTCTTTAAGGCTCCTAATAAAGGCTTTGTTTGTTTTTTAAGGCTCCTAATGAGGGTTTTTCGATGCAATCTTCACTTATTGTGTAAAATGAAGGCTCTGAACTGGTGCTGGCGACAGGAGCTTAAGTCTATAAACATGATTTAATGCCATTAAAGCAGGAGAAAATAATCGTATAATTTTCTTTTAATAATTAATAAGATTCAAACTTTCAGAGGTTCTCTTATTGTGTCCTCATGTTAAAAGTCATTGTAAAGAATATTGTTAACAAACCTGTCTGACTGGGTACATTGAGCCAATAGTGTGAAGGGAGCTGAACTTTGGCCAGTTGGTGATTTCAATTGGCTCCAGCAGGAACTGGCGCCCCCTGTAGTTGCTGTGTTCACATATCACCCAGCTACAAAGCAGGAAAGTGGACACAAAGAATTACTTATGACAACAGTATCCAGGTTCTCAGCAAGATATTTTTGGTTCACTATTAGCTGATGAAGCCATTTAATTGCATGTAAGTTACCAGCCGCTGTTGACTCTGAGCGACAGGATGTGGTTGTTGAAGCCTTCTTCTACCATACTCAGGATCTCTGTGTCTGTGGTGATCTCTCTGCCCTCCAGACACTCAAGCCCGAACAAAGAGATGGAAGGAACTGAGAACAACTGGAGAAAGAAAGAGCATTTAGTAAGGCCATTGCCATTGTGTGCAATAGGTCGGCACCCATAACATGAAATCTCCCACTCGTGGGACTAATAAAGGTATCTTATAATCGAGAGCAAAATTTTCCTGTGTGAGTGCATTTCTTACCAAGGGCACAATCTTAACAGAACGAATGGAACAGTCAGGGGGGCAGCCCATGCTGGTTAGATTGGGGTAGTCTCCTTCAGATAAGACATACAAGTTCCCAGAGAACTGTTCATTCTCATAGACGACCCAGCTGAAATACACAGTGTTAAATTGTGTCTTTATTGCTTTGCTTATTGACTTGAAAAAATAAAAAATACACACACACCAAATCATGTCAACTCTAACTTTTACTCACTTTACTTCCTGCTTACTCACCTTCTTCCCGTCACTCTGCATGACTTGGTAACTAATTTTTCTGGCATTTCCTCCTGTTTGCAGTTAAAGATGTAACACTCTCCCTGGAAGTCTGGCTCAGAGTACAATTTTATCTGACAAGAAGAAATAGGCAAAGCAAGGTGAGATGCCAGCTGAGAACATTTATATCTGTACTGTGACAGAAGCAAAGTTAACAGGGAAAATGTCAAGGTGCTTAACTTTGACCAAGTTATTAGCTTTAAGATATGCTCCATCCTTGAAAAAGGTTTTAAGCAAACAAAAAGAAACTCTGGATTCAAGTAATACAGTTCAATGTAACCTTCGCACATTGTTTTGGGACTGCTATCAGGCAGGGGACAGAGAAAGGTGAAGAAAAACAAACTCTACTGCAGTTTATAAGTTTACACTAAGCCTGTCGACCTTTGAACAGTGGAGCAAAATAACAAAAAAAACAAAACAAAACAAAAAACCCTGCATAACCCAAGCTTAGAGCAATTCAGACAGTCTCTTCTTTACAACACTGCTTCAATTCAATTCCCCATGAAAGCTTTCTTTCCACATGACTGTACTTACCTCATCCCTGGACCTTGAACTGTCATTTGGAGCCTAATAACAAGACAAAACAAAACAAAACAAA